TGGTCTGACTGAGACTGGAGGAACCCCGGAAAGCATGACCCCCGGATTCTCTATCAGCCCAGAAATAAAAGTTTCTGAGGCCACCTCTTCAGACAGGGACTGGACTGGACTGTGGGACATAAAGTGATACTCCTGAGGAGTGTGCCTGTTAGCTGAAGTAGATACAAGAGACTAAACGGGCAGCTTCTGTCCTGCGGTGCGATGGGAAGGCAGAGAGGGTTAGGAGCTGGTTGAATGCACATGGGGAATCAGGTGTGGAGAGGAGGAGTGTGCTGTCACAGTATGGGGAGAGCAATTAGAGTCACATTACAATGTATGTATACATTTTTGTATGGGAAAAAATAAAAAAATTTAAAAGATTTCATTTTACTTGGATCCATAATCAATGCCTGTGGAAGCAGCAGTCAAGAAATCAGACAACATATTGTGCTGGGTGATTCTGCTGCAAAAGACCTTTTTAAAGTGTTCAAAAAACAAAGACATCACTTTAAGGACTAAGGTGTGCCTGACCCAATCCACAGTGTTTTCAGTTGCCTCATATGCATGCGAAAGCTGGACAATAAATAAGGAGGACCGAAGAAGAATTGCCGCCTTTGAATTATGGTGTTGGCGAAGAATATTGAATGTACCATGGACTGCCAGAAGAGTGAAGAAATCTGTCTTGGAAGAAGTACATCCAGAATGCTCCTTAGAAGCAAGGATGGCAAGACTTCGTCTCACATACTTTCGACACGTTGTCAGGAGGGACCAGTCCCTGGAGAAGGACATCATGCTTGGTAAAGTAGAGGGGCGGTAAAAAGAGGAAGACTTTCAACGAGATGGACTGACACCATGGCTGCAACAATGGGCTCAAGCATAACGATGATTGTGAGGATGGTGCAGGACCAGACAGGGTTTCGTTCTGTGGTACATAGGGTCGGTATGAGTCAGAACCGAGTAACCGGATGGCACCTAACAGCTAACAACAACAACATGGGATCAGGGCTGTGACCCGAGTAAGGATGTTGCATCCCACTCTAATTCTCTTTCACATAACCTAATCTTGCCTCATCAACCGCAGGCAGAGGTTAGGGTTTACAACACACAGGAAAATTACATCAGATCACAAAATGGAGGACAACCACACAATACTTGGAATCGTGGCCTAGGCAAGTTGACAGATATTTTGGGGGGGACACAATTTAATCCATAACAGGCTATAACTTTTCTTAAACCAAAATCTGACTAGTCTTAAACAGGTTTCCTTATGTTGATTTATTTTGCCATGTTTTAAAAGTACTTCTGTCATATTCATTATTTTTAGTAGTTAAAATTTCAGCACTTGGTTTTTACTGAATCACAGGAAATTGAGACTAAAGCCTGAAAGTTTGCCGATATGTAAAAACAATTAACTGAAAATGGCTGATTGCTGAATATCACTTTCCAGTAAAGTTCCATTCGGAAGACTCAACGTGTGTTAATTCCCACATAGTCTATTCTAGTGTTGGATCTCTCAACCTACTTTCTCACCCCTCTAATCAGTATAATGTAGCTAAATTGTTTTCTCTCTTTTTATCTTTACTCTTTTTTCTGAATCGTTACCATCATTTTTTTGTTTACTGGCCTCTCTTGAAAGAAGTAGAATACCTTTAACTGGGGAGAGTGGATTGGCATTCCTGAGCACTAAACTCTGTGCCAGGCACTGGGCTAATGGTTTACAAATGTTTTCTCATCAAATCCTCACAGTAACCTTTGAGGTAGAGATCTTTTTTTGCATTTTACTGAGGAGTAAACAGAGGCTCAGAGGGGTTAAACTCAAGCCCGGTCCTGCGTCATCTTCACTATCATTGTTGTGCTTGAGTCCACTGTTGTTGCGGCCATTGTGTATTTTGAGTGCCTTCCAACCTAGGGGGCTCATCTTCCAGCACTATATCAGACAATGTTCTGTTGTGATCCATAGTATTTTCATTGGTTCATTTTTGGAAGTAGATGGCCAGGCCTTTCTTCCTAGTCTGTCTTAGTCTGGAAGCTCTGCTGAAACCCGTCTACCATAGGTGACCTTGCTGGTATTTGAAATACCAATGGCAGAGCTTCCAGCATCATCACAACATGCACGCTACCACAGGACTACAGACAGACAGATGGGTGGTGGTTGAAAAATATACCTATCAAAATTTAATCTAGCTTGACAGAAATCAGAATAGCGGTCAGTTCTGCGGGGAAAGGGCATGTCAGGACTTTCTGGGGCAGTGGTTCTCCACCTGGGGAGATTTTGCCCACCCCCGGGGACATTTGGCAATGTCAGGAGACATTTTTGATTGTCATGACTGAGGGTGGGGGTAGAGGGGTGCTACTGGCACCTAGTGGGTAGCGGCCAGAACCCATCCCAGACCTACTGTAACAATAGCTATGTTTTCCTGTCACCCTTAACACTAACATCAGATTGGACTCAGTAATTTGTTCCATGGTAATGCCATTAGCCAGAAAGAAATAAGTACCAACCACTAATGCAAAGAAGTTTGGTATGTATATTCCTGAAGAATTATTGTAACTATGGTAATAAATTAGAAGGAAAAAAGATATAAAGTTTTGTGGTTTACAAAAAAACCCCTCCCTAAGAGATTAGGGAAAAAAATAAAAATAAAAATACTTTTTTTTTATCAGTGTCTGAAGTGGAACACCCAGAAAGTGTTCAGAATTCAGAGAAAAGGTATACTTTTAGGTGAAGAGAGACTAGGGTATGACAGTGATGTGTGTCTGTGTGTAAAAATTTTAATGCTTTTTATGATAAGACGATTAGTAGAATTAGGTTAAGTACCAGCAGGTTAAATAAGACTGTATTTTGAACATATTTTACAATGACTCTTCAGATGTAGGTTGCTACTTTAATGGAGCAGTTTTCTACAACCAATCATTTTAACAAATTACGTTTTCCTAAACGAGTGTTCTGTTCTAGAGGTTACAGGTGAATACTCCTTGGAACTATTATAAATATACCTTTCAATATTATAATACATTTCTGTGCCCTTCTTAGCAAGCAGAAGCAGATGGAAACTCTGTTAGGACGAGGTATAGAACAAGTGGAGACTGAACTCAAATGTGCTGGTATCAGATATATAAACAATGCGCTACTCTTTTCAGCTGACAAATTGTAATGGCTGTCTCAGGGCTGGTATTCTCACAGCACTTGTTCTATACCTCGTCCTAATAGCTTTCAGCTAAGGCTGCTTGGAACCTTGGTGGTGCAGTGGTTAAGCGTTTGGCTGCTAACCAAAAGGTCGGCAGTTTGAATCCACCAGCCACTCCTTGGAAACCCTGTGGGTCGCTCTGAGTTGGAATTGACTCGACGGCAGTGAGTTGAGCTGAGTTGAATCCTGCTTAGTAAGGAGTCAATTAAAGAATATAGTGCTTAGAGTGTTCTGTTTCCTCACCAGGAAATGGGAGGGGTGACTGTTGTCCCTTCGGCCTGTTTCCATTGTCCTGCACCTCTCAGAATGTGGCCCCTAAATGCAAGCAAAATATTTCATGTGGTATTCAATTGAAGAAACAGTGATCTGTTCCATTCCTGTAAGGAAAAGTGGATAGCGCAGATAGAGAACACTTCCATCAGGGCAGAAAGTTCTGGTGGACGGCACTGATTTAGACTAAACCACACCCTTTGGATTTGGTATTTAGGAGGTGGTGGTTATTTACAAAAATATAATTTCAGGGAAGTGGTGGGGGTAAAAACTTTGCTGATAAAGGCAGGAGACCACTTGTTTGAAGCTACAATTCACAGATGCAGTCTGACCTCTGGGAAAGGAGGCCACTGGTTGAGATATATGTCAAGAGCCAGGCATTCACAATACTGGTGTCAGGAATGGCCAAAAAGCTCTGTCTTCATCATTATCAAATTTACGGCCACACGCCTTTGTTTCTCCAGTGTGATTAATCCCTGTTTTTTAAAACTTTTGTCCTAATATACAAATCCTTCTCTCTTTTTTCTAAATTTTGTCTTTTGGAAACTTCTTCAGCTTTTTCTATTTTAAGATGCAGCAGGACTAAATTAAATACATATATCGTTGTGTGCTGTCAAGTCAATTCCTACTCATAGCAACCCTACGTGACAGAGTAGAACTGCCCCATAGGGTTTCCTAGGCTGTAATCTTTACGAGAGCAGATTGCCAGGTCTTTTCTCCCGAGAAGCAGCTGGTAGAGCTTACATTTTAGTGAGGGTGGACAGAACCAGCTAAATAAATAATACGTCATTTATTAGCAAAGATTTATTGAGAGCTTACTACTTTATAGTGGGGCAAGACACCATAAGCCTAGTACGTGAGTGATCGTATAGTCCCTAACCTAGTAAAATGTTTATACCTTGACAACCATATTGTCCTTAGGATATATCCCTGTTCTTTATGTAGAATCTGAATCCCGAGAGGATCGTATGCCACTATTTTTAAATCTTCAAGTCTGTGAGATACAGTTTATCGACAGAAGATTTTTATTTTTATTTGCAGATGTTCGCACACAAGCCATGTACCAGATGATGGATCAAGGCTTTGTAGGACTGATTTTTTCCTGTTTCATAGAAGATAAAAACACAAAGGTATTGTGTGTGTGTGTGTGTGTGTGTTTATACACACAGAGAGTAGAAAAAAAAATGTCTTTGCAATTTTAATAGGGCGGCCAGGGAAGGTTTCTATGAAAAGGGAACATTTGAGTCAGGATCTGAAGAAGGCTTTCCAGGCAGTGCAAAGACCCTAAGGAACACTGAGGAAGTCGGTGTGGCTGCAGCCAAGCGAGGAAGAGGAGAGAAATAGTAGGTGACCATACGTCCCAGGGTGCCTTCACCAGTCCCAGTTTTATCAGTTAGCACCTCCTTTCATTCTCAGAAGTGTCCCAAGTTAGACGATAACTCATTTGGCTTTCTTACAGATGAGGACAGCAGGATAAACAGGGGCCAGATCTTGTAAGGCCTTGGCTTGGATTCTGAGTTGGGAAGCAACAGGAAGGTGACTTCTGTTTTAATGGGATCCCTCTGACTGCTGTGTTGATAACAGACGGGAGCAGGGGTGGGGGGTGGGAATCGGTGGCATCAGTGGTAGCAGTGGAGGTGATGAGAAGTCGTTGGATTCTGCGTATATTTTGATGGTTAATAGTAACGACTGCTACCATTTAACACCTGTAGTGTGGCGCATACTTATTAGGTGTTTTATGTAAATATGCTCTAACCTTGATAACAACCTTCTGAGGTAGGCATTATTATCCCCACTTTACGGATGAGGAAACTGAGGCTCAGAGAGGTTAAGCAGTGTGATCAATGACTAGACTTGCCATTTTCTATTTAGAGTGCTTCTGTTTGAATTCTCCGTTCACATCAAGAGGTTTTAATATGTGTCTGTGCAAACAAAAAGAATATGACTGTTGAACATTGTAGGTATGAATTTTGCCAAGAATATCAAGAGTGGCCTATCATTTAGGACATTCGTTATATTCTCAGAATCTGTGTTAAGAATGAATATTCTCCATAAAATCGCTCTTTTCCCAAAATATTAAAGTTTAGTGTTTGAACTTCTTACTTTATTTTTAAATGGTTTTGTCTTTGTCATCATAAATTTATTTTGAATAAGTTTGTAAACTTCCAACACAGCAGTCTGAATGTTCCAGTTCTGAATTTCTTACTTCTCATGTTCACTAGCTGTTGTCACATGATTTCATGTTGGCCAAATATACGATCTTTCTTACAGAAATTGCAATCTCTTTTTACCTCACACTTCCAGAGTGGGCTTTGGGTTTTAGGTTAAAGTCTACTAAATTGCTATAACTTTTTCAATATTAATCCTTCCTTGTGTGACATTTGTTTCATTTTTTTTTTCTTCGCTAGACTGGCCGAGTGCTGTACACTTGCTTCCAATCCATACAAGCCCAAAAGAGCTCAGAGTAAGTATGACAGAAAAGTATGTACGGATTGGTGGGCTAATCTCCAGTATAGGGAATTGATTGGTTTTTGTTTCATTTTATTTCTCTTACTGGTGATCAGACCTAAGAAGTATATAGTCTACCTCTACCTAGTAACATCTCTGTGAGGAATTACAATCTGTTTAGCAGCTTGGATGCTGGGGACCTAGGAAGCTAGGATGATATAAGCAGTCTCTTAATTGTAATTACCATCACCACAGTCCTGTTCCACATTTCCTGTTCTCCTTTTCCTTTCTCTGATGAACTGTAATACAAAGACTGGGCGTGCAGAGTATTACAGATTTGTATAGATTCTTGTCTTTGTTGTGCCATAGACTAGATTTTAGAATTAAAGTAGCTCACTTAATGTTTACAAAGGTCAGATTCCTCATTTTAATTCAATTCAGTTCAACTTAAATTAGCAAATCTTGATCCAGTACCTACTAGGTGTATGCCAAGCACCGGGGTAGATACTGATGATGCAGAGACAAAAACCAAGTTCACTGTCTAATTGGGAGACCGAAGCAAAGACTGTCTTAAATTTTCTTCCTGTAATACTTATCAATTTATTATTATAGCATTGTTTGAAATAGCAAAAGTGTGAAGGAAAAAAAAACTTAGGTGTCTATCAGTACAGAGCTGATTAAATAAATTGTGATACATCCATATTATAATGGGATATTACAGCACCATAAAAAATAACCTGTGAGGAACCTCTGTAGTAATACAGAAATATCTCCAACATGTATTGTTAAAGCAGAAAGACAAGGTATAAGAACAGTGTGTACAGTATGTTACCTTTTGTGTAAAAAGATGTAGAAGAGAAATAGGTACGCGCACACACCCACATATTTGCTTTTAAATGCACAGAATAACTAGAAGGAAACACATTGACCACCTCTGCAGAGAACTGGGTGTGGGCGAGTAAAGGGTAGGGAGACTTTTCATTGTATCCTTTTGTTAGCTTTGAAATGTGGAACCATGCAAAAGTGTTACCTAGTTAACCAATATTAAGTTTTAGCATTTTAATCGAAGTAATAGATACATACGCATAAAAATACCAAATGGTACAGAGGGCTTACAACGGATAGTGTCACTCTTCAGAAGGAAACACTTCTTCTCATTTGGTTTTAGTTCTTCTGGTGTTTACTTTGAGATCTCTGAATAATATCCTTATGATAGTATTTCTTAATTTACCAATTGTAGATATTATCTATTGTTCTCATTATTATTATTATGTTATCTTGCTCTCACAAATTAGGGTTTAGCTCACTTAACTACCCCATCTCCAGTTTTCCCAACTACTATTTTTCGTTCTTCTGTTGGTTATTTTTCTAACCTTCAGTAAAGTTTACCCCTTTATTTATTCTATTGACAATAGACAACAGACAATATCTTTTGAGTCCCTATTGTTATTTATATTTTACCATAAACCTTTATATTTTCAGTTGCAAATACCTGTATTTTGTGTTATGATCATAACGGTGTTCTCTGTGCTTTGTCTGTTAGTGAATTCTAAGAAAATAAAGTGTTTATATTATTATTGTGATTGTTAGGTGCCATCAAGTCGATTTCAATTCAAAGCGACCCCATGTGACAGAGTAGAACTGCCCATACAGTCTTCTAGGCTGTACTCTTTACAGGAGCAGATGGACAGGTCTTTCTCCCCTGGAGCACTGGGTGGGTTTGAACTGCCGACTTTTGGGTTACTAGCGGAGTGCTTAACCACTGCGCCGCCAGGGCTCCTTGTTATGATTATATAAATATTATTCAGTGTAGGACCAAATAATGTAAAGTAGTGTGCTATAATTCCATTTCCTTTCTTTATAGAGTTTTGCTTTTTCATGGGGCTTCAAATATTGTTTCTTTTTAATTTGTGTGCCTTTATCACTTCCCAAAGTTCCCCAAATTCTTAGGAGAAATATAAAAATCTTTGGAATCCCTGTTTTTCGTCAGACTGCTCCCTGGAGCCCTCTACCCTCCTACCCTAATCTGGTCCGTGCAGATGATATCCTGAGACTTTCCTTGATTATTTTCCTGGGTTAAATCCATTGTTTCCTAGATTCCATATCATCTTTCTTGGTTTACTCTTTCATGTTGCTAGAAAAGACCTTCAAGTAACTTCCTAAGAAAGGTGTGCATTTGAGCTAAATTTTCTAAGCCCACGTTTATCTGCAAATATTTCTATTATTAATGAATAAACTTGCTGGATAAAGAATTCCAAATAGACAGTCTTTCCCCCTCAGAACTTTGAAGGCATTGTTTTTCAACATCCAGTGTTACTGATGAAAAGACTTTTGCAAGACTGATTCTTGTTCTTTTGAAGGTGACCTTGTTTTCTCTCTCTGAAAGGTTTTAGGAGCTTCTTTTTATCCTTTATATTGTGAATTTTACTATGATATATATAGGGTGTGGATATTTTATCATGCATACTGCTGGACACTTTCAGATTGGTGACGTTTGTCCTTCAGCTCCGGGAAGTTTCTCCTATTGTTTTCTTTTGTATCCCAGATGAAACAATCCACAGTCTACCTGGTTCCTGGGGAGAGAAAGTCTTATTTGTAACTCAATCCAATTCCTTAATTTAAACAGTCTCGTTAAGTTTAGCTCAGCCTCTGAAGGATAACTTCTCATTCATTCATCTACTTCTCTTACTCCCATCATGTTCATCTCTAAGACAGCATCTGTTCCTGCTCTATTTCCCGGGCAGTTCTGTTAGCATCCATTTCTGATGTATGCAGCTGCTGAAGTGAGAATTCTTTCTTGGTTAGGTCAGGATGCCATGGCCTCTCCCTACTAACTCAGCTCTACCTTGGCTTTCTCTGGGGCAACAGACTGTAATGAATCTCTTCCACATCTACATTCACCTCCTGACCCAGGTCATCTTGCTCTTGCTATAGTGGGTTTCCTGGCAAAACTGCTGGTCCTCAACTGAATGTCACCTCACATAGGAATGAAAGGTGTCTTGGAAGTGTAAACTGGACCTTCTTGTGGCCTGTCCATGCCATTTTGCTATTTCAAGTACAACTAGCTGGTTTCCTCTCCGAGTCCCATATGGGAATCAAGGCAGGGATCCCTCTACTCATGGTCAGTGTTCTCCTTAACTTACCCAGTGCACTCCTCTCCACTCACGGACTCACTGCCCCAACGAAAGGAAATACCTAACTGGCTTCCACTCCTCTAGCTCTTTCCCTCATTCTCCCTGTCATTTAGCAGGACAGATGCTTCACATCCTTTTCTCTGTTCTTTGATAATTCCTCCCCCTATTTTCCTTTTTTCTCTTTCTATAACTCCTAGTAGTCAGATATTAAAGGTCCTAGATTAACCTTAGTGACTCTTTTTACTCATATTTTCTGTCACTTTTTTTGTTCTCATTTCTCAGATATTGATTTCATCTCTTCTAACCCTTTTATAGATTTTTTATTTTGATAGTTTTATATTTTTCCTTTCCAAGAATTTTTTCCTCATCTGCTGGTTACGCCCATTTCACAACATTCTCTTGTTTTACCAGTATTGACATTTTAAGTTTTATCCTGTTTTTTCAGTTATGTTTCTTCTGTGGCAATTTTTTGAAACCTTTCTTGTCCAGTCATTTTTAAGAATGAGGCAGCAAACAGCTGAATGGTAGCTCATTACTTCTGGCCTCGGTTTGTCACTAGGAAGCTTCACTTTAGGATGGGTGGGTTGGGAGCCAGACATTTTGCTTGGGAATCACAAAATGCTAGACTTCAGGTATCTTGCTCTGGGACAGCAATCTTAACAACTGCTGCCCTATTTCCTCCCAGTTTATTTTATTAATTAGGAGAAAAACTCCTTGATGCTGTTAGTGTTACTGCTGCTGCTGCTGCTGATTTGGGCTTGAGGATGAAGGCCTGATTATCAGACGTTCTGTGTAGATGCAGGCCCAGTCATGGAAGAACACAGCAAAGAGGCGTAACTAGATGCCCAAGTTTCTGCCAGGAAAACTAAAAGGGGTGGCCTCTGAGAAATCACAGAAAGCAACTTTGTAAAGTAGTTTGTGACTTTCTGGGCTTACCCATCCATGAGCCATGTAGGCATGGATCCCATCCTAATAACATAACCAAGAGAACCACGTAGATTCCATTCTTAAACACTGGGTGGCGCACATGCAGCAAAGATCCCAACAGTACTACAAAGGCTCTGAAACCTGAAATGACATAGAAACCACAGACCGTAGAAGGCTTTGGAAATTGCAACCTGAACCTGGCTGAGTGAATTGCCTGCTAAAACAAAAATAACATTCTCCGTAGCATTTAAACAAGCTGCAGTGCCGCTTAACATAATATTCAAAATGCCCAGGATAAAATCCACATTTACTTAGCATATTCAACACCATGAAAATTTCAACTTACATGGAAAAAATATAATCAACAGATGCCAACACCGAGATGATACAGATGTAGGAAGATTTGGCATTGTGAAAATGTCAATTCTACCCAAAGCAATCTACAGATACAATGCAATCCCGATCCAAATGCCAATGGCTTTTTTTAATGAGATGGAGAAACAAATCACCAACTTCATATGGAAACGGAAGTGGCCCCGGGTAAGTAAAACATTACTGAAGAAGAAGAACAAAGTGGGAGGCCTCACACTACCTGATTTCAGAACCTATTATACCACCACAGTAGTCAAAACAGCCTGGTACTGGTACAACCACAGATACATAGACCAATGGAAAAGAATTGAGAATCCAGACGTAAATTCATCCACCTATGAGCAGCTGATATTTGACAAAGGCCCAAAGTCTGTTAATGGGGGAAAGGACAGTTTCTTTAACAAATGGTGCTGGCATAACTGGATATCCATCTGCAAAAAACTGAAACAAGACCCATACCTCACACCATGCACAAAAACTAACTCAAAATGGATCAAAGACCTAAATATAAAATAAAAAACGATAAAGATCATGGAAGAAAAAATAGGGACAACGCTAGGAGCCCTAATACATGGCATAAACA